CATCACAGAAGTTCTTTCGTTTTGAAACAGATTCAGATTGCGCGGTTCAAAGTGGTAAACTTACGTCTCTCATTAAGTGACAAAACTTTTTCTGTAACTGACGTTTTTTGATCGTGACAAAAACACCACACGAGTACATACGAGTACGTACGAGTAACATACGAGTACATGCGAGTAACATGCGAGTAACAAACGAGTGACAAACGAGGAAAATACGAGTACATACGAGGAACATACGAGTACATACAGGTACATACGGTAATATACAGGTTATATTAGCCTGCGTCGCAGACAGCCTAAACCGCCGGGGATTTTATGACAAGTCCGGCTGCAACGCAGGCTAAGGTTATGTAAGAATGCATTGGCTACATACGAATGCACAGGAGCAGCATACGATGGCAGGAGGGTAATAAACATGAAATGTACCATTTTTCTCTTTACATTTCATTTTTGCATGTGCGCGCGGGTCATGTCTTGCACACGCACGTGAACGCGCGCAAGTGTCACACACGCACACGTGCCACACACATGCACGTGTGCCACATACATACGTCCGCCATATACGCGCGCCACACACGCACAAACAAACCTGAGCACTGATGTGATATGATGCGACGTTGCGCGCCAAATAAATGCAGATTACGATGATTGCACACGGGATTTAGCGCGCAAATGTCTCATAGAATTTTCTTCGAAGTAATAGCATAGTAAAAGTTTCGGGCTGGGTGGCGTGCTGTTCAATGAATTGAACCCCTCTCCCTTTCCTCAAAAAAGGGGTGAAACAGTCTAACTTTCGTTATGTTACTCGTATGTACGCAAGTGGTGTTTTGGCCACGATCACGTTTTCACCAAAAAGGCTCTCAGGTGTTGGGAAGGGTAATGAAACAAGGAAACGTGCCAAACTCTGCATATTTCATGGTTTTTCTTGTGTTTGGTTGTTTCAAGCCCGGGGTTGGGGGGGGGGGGGTCCCATAAGGAGTGGACAGGGATGCTTGTCGGAAATTTTGAATTTAACCCCTAAAAGAGACCAATCTGGGCGTGGCTGAGGTTTATGCAGACCCCTAAAAGAGACCAGTTTATAAAACAGAAAAATAAAAAGTACAGTGACTTTTAATGATGGTGAATTTGTTTATATGAATTGAGTAAATATAGAAAATCAAAATCTTTCTGTTTTGTTATTTCTTCGCGTGCAACCCTTAACGAGACATTGACGGCTAAAAATAATGACATTTCGTCCAGAACACCCTAAGAGAGACCAAAATCTGAAATTTACACCCCTAAGCAAGACAACAAGCATCCCCGTCCATTCCATATGGGAGTCCCCGCCCCCCCCTCCCCCCCAGGGTTTCAAGTCTCAAGTTAGGTAACGCTGTTTACTTGTAATAATGTCTTCTTGATTAAATGGGTTTTGAAATCGATATTAATTTGAAGTGGTTTTGTGAATTTTTTTTTGAGGGGGTGGGGAGATATCAAAACCGAAAAAAACTATGATCATTATTGGCAACAGAATAAGACCATGCCATTGCATGATGATGCCATAATTAAATTGGTTCTTGTTATAAAATCCAGAATAAAGTTCAGTCAACACCAATCTGCCATTTACCGTTAGCTACTATTACAGACTGCATAATGTTTACCTTTCTTGCTGGGAACAGTTCCATGTAGTTCTAATGAACAGTCACTGATCAACTGTTAAAATCAAACCTTGATAAAAGGAGGCTTGACATTGCATTTCCTAAGGTAAAACAAATTCTTAAGTTGTTTTCTTTTTCGCTGTACATCGTAACCAGACAAACTTGTTGGAGTAACCTTATCATTTAACTGTTAAGAGTCCACTGAGTGATGCTACCTCCAGGGGCTTTTAATTCACGCTCACGCACTAACCCACTAAATTGTAAATTGAAAAAAGAATAGGAAATCTGGTGCCCCAGTTAATTTCTCCTACACATAAAAGTAACTCAAACGTTGGTTATTCACATGAACCATTGCCACCTCTCCTTCCATGCCATATCATCTTTCCAGGATGCACTGGAAAAACGACTAGTTTATGCAATTCTAACAGTCACAAAATACCACGCTGAGGCAGTACCACTTGTATTTATTTCCATTTTTTTCATCCACCTTTCAGCTGTAGCATTTAATGAGTTTCTGAACAAAGAATCTTAGGCATATTATTGGCCAAGTAAAATTATGATTTGCAACTATCTGGATTAGGAAAGACCTCATTTAAAATATTTTTCTGAATAGCGATTATTTCTGCAACAGTTTGCTTGTCAAAATCACTAAAGTATAATCAGTTAACATCATCTTGCTAGGGAAAAACTGCATTCAAATCTTATTTCAACACACAGTTACACTAATGTATACAACTACAAAACTAGTTTCATTTATGACCCCTTAATTTGGTCCCCATAACAGATTTAAATCCAAGGTGACTTCATGTAGCCATGCATGAAATATAAACCTTGATACCACATGCTAAACTAATAATTTTTATTTTTATTTCTACTTATTTATTTATTTGCTGGTTTATTTCTATTTATGATTATTGTTTCTATCTGGTTATAATATTGTCAGTTGTTATTATTCTGTATCAAGTAATATTTTTCGTGCAAGGTTATATGAAGTCATCCCAAATTCAAATCTTTACTGGCGACCAACTGAAGAGGTCACAGACAAAGCAAGTCTTGAAGTTGCATATACTATGTAACTGTGTATCGAAGGAAAATTCAAATGAAGCTTTTCCCAAAACAAGATGCTGTTCAGTAATCATACTTTCTTGCTTTAACAAGTAGAACTTTATGAAGAAGGCTATTGTGCTTGATTTATCTATGTTTTCTTCCTTGATGACTA